CCCCGTTCCTAGTTATATTTTCTACTGAAGTCAGATGTTACTCATTCAAAAATTCAAACCAAAGCTTAGTGCACTACAACTTCTGAAAAGTAGCCATGTTTACTCTGCATTCCTGACTTCTTGGACTGAAACAAGCTGTAAATGGTAGTTTTTTACTTGCCTCCAGTTTTCTGGGGGGTGCTAATGAAGACCAGCTCTTGTTGAGTTACTGAGATTATGTTGTAGCTGTCTTTGAACAGCTCCTTTGAGACCAATGAACCTTACCATGGTTACGTTTCCAACTGTTAAGCCCTTCTTATCTCCAATCTGGGCAGCCCCTGCTTGTTTAAACATTTCCTGTAATGAGGCACATGTTGACATAAGCAGAGCCCAGCTTCCAGCTATTTCCCACTTGTAAGAATTATTAATACCTTTTTTCATTGACATTTTCACTGCTGGCACAGTTCATAATACCAACACAAAAAATGAGTTGATACTTGTGCAGAGCTCTAGGTGGTCACAGTACTGTACATATGTAAAAAGGATTATTTCCCAACTTGGGGAGTCTAGCTCTCTGAACCTCCTGCTTCTGAATAGGTATTGCTTTTCAGTGCTTAGTGCATTATGAGTGCAGCTTTCAAAAGGAGGGACTAAGAAGACATCATTCATTGTAGGGCTGGGACCTTATTTACAAATCTTTCAAATCAAGTATTGTCAACTGTGGCAGAAAACAGGGCCAAAAGAGTGCAGTGAGAGAGAATGTAAACTTGGAAACTCCAGTGCTTTTCCTTTGTTCTTGTTTATTTTGTTGCTCACTGAATTATCTTAGTAACTTTCTCTGCATTCACTGGTAGATTAAGGCCATCAGTGATGGAGAGGGTAGGAGGAGGCAAGTCCCTCAGAAAGGTGAGTAGCAGAACCTTAGTCACAGGTGACAGGAACACAACAGCATTCAGGCAGGCAGGTGAAGCATTCCTTACTGCTGTTCCTTACATACTCTGATCTTAATAGGCATGAAGGCGGTCCTTGGCACTGAGGAAGACAGAACAGCCAGTTTCCGTCTCTGAGACTGGCAGGCTGCAGAAGGGAAGGATTGTATCTTTCAGCCATAGTCGCCATCTCACTTCTCTCTGGTCTTCAGAGTAGCTTGAAATGCGAAGAGCCATCGTGTCAAGCTGTGGCTGATGTGTTCTGGTGTGTTCTCTCCACACAGATTGAGAAGTTGCAGAATGAAATCGAAAAAGAGAAGCAGAGTAACCAAGATCTGGAGACCTTGAGCGAGGAGCTGATAAAAGACAAAGAACATCTACAAGTTGTTGTGGAGACGCTGAAAGCTGACAAAGACAGACAGGTGCAAACTTTTCAAGTGTAATATAAAAGTATATGCTCAGTAATGGTAATTTACTGATGCTGTTTAGGCATCTGGCTCTCTCAGAGATTTAGGGCAATTTGAGAACTATTAGGTGCAGGTTGAACTTGTTTAAGTGTAGGTAAAAGTTTTCTTGGAAGAAAAAAGCCCAGTATGTTTTGGTAGCTACTGCTCCTGTACCCACAGGGGGACCTTCAAGCTATTGTAAAGACAGACCTTGCTTCTCCGGGGGAAAACAGCCCTGGATCTTACTAAATGGGATGCCAGCTGTTTTTAGGATGTGCAAATGAAACCCCATATTATTGCTGAAGATTGGTCTTCTGCCAGCTTTATGTCTTGATGGGTTGGGTTGGATTTTAAGACAACCAACCTTTTTTTTCTCTGTTTTAAAAAGGTGCTGAGAAAGCATTTGTCTTTTGGACTGATATTGAAAACGTCCTTCAGCTTGTACTACTGTGCTGCAGTTCGTGTGCAGTGCGTTGAAACTATCCTATTACAGTGTCATGCAGGGTACCATCTGTATTAATCTGACTAGTGAAGAAAATACACACACAGACCACTGGAGGCTGGTCTATATAATTTCACTGTGTATTAAAATTTACTCCAAGATTTGTGGGGTGAAGATTAATAACAAAATGTCTTACTTGTGTAGTGCTTTATATTTTGGATGATTCTTATCCAGACTTCTGCCTGGGAAACGGCACTTTACCACCAAAGTCCTACATTTCAGTTAGAACACATACGGATTCTCTGTGGTAAGAATTAAGGAATACTTCATAAGCTGGGCAGAATGTAAAACCAGAAGTATCCTCAGTCATCAGAAAAGGGGAGATTCTGATTTTTTGAGGTATAGGTCCTTTTTGATTTTTCTGGATGTTGTCTAGATAAGAATCAAATGAAAATTGCTGTTTACATCACAGTTATTCAGCTGAAATTTGGCCAGCGTGGTAAGTGTACTGTTTTTACAGATGTCACTAATGACATCTCTAGCTGATAGAAATTTTCAAACCTTTTGTGGTTTCTGACACTTTATCAGGGAGAACATGTTTCTTCAGATCCCAAAGATGTGAATGTAAGACTAGACAAAAAGATACGCTTTATTAGGGTTTAGGAATGGTTCTTAAGAAAGCATCCTCTCCAGGCTGTTCTCTGAAGGTCATTTGTCCACTTTCTCCCTCTGCCTCAACCTTCTTAGCTGGTAGGAGGAATATAACGCCATTTTTCATTTGTTAGAATCCCGTGTTACCAGAGGTAATTATGTTTTTTTCATATATTTATGGTTTTGGTTTTACTCAGAGAAAACTGTTGAGGTATTTGTCTTGGATTAAATGGACATGGTTTTGTCCTGTCTGCTTCAGGACCAATTTGTACAGCACATTGTAAGATGGATGACGTAACATTTGCACAATTTTTTTATTGTTTACCTAGATAAAGGACCTTAAACAAGAAAATGATCACCTTAATCAAGTGGTCTTATCCCTGAGACAAAGATCTCAAGTGAGCAGCGAGGCAAGAATAAAAGATATTGAAAAAGAGAACAAGATCCTTCATGAAACAGTTACAGAGACTAGTAGCAAACTGAGCAAGCTGGAATTTGAGAAGAAACAATTGCAGAAGGATTTTGACCAGGTTAAAGAAAAAGTGGAAAGTGGAGAGGGAGAATGAACAGCTCACAAAGAAAGCAGCAGCAATGAAAATAGTGACAGAGAAATCGTCTGGAGAGGGAGAATGAACAGCTCACAAAGAAAGCAGCAGCAATGAAAATAGTGACAGAGAAAGTTGAAGTTCTTGAGCAGGAGAATGGGGATCTGGAAGTGGAAAACAGGGAGCTGAGAAAATCCCTGGACACATTGCAGAGTATTTCCATCCGGCTAGGGGATCTGGAAAGGGACAACAAGCAGTTGGATGAAGAAAACCTGGAGCTTAGGAGAGTGGTGGAGACAATGCGATTTACCAGAACAAAAATGGCACAAATAGAAGCAGAAAATAAAGATTTGGAGAGGGAGAAAGAGGACTTGAGGAAGAGTGTGGAAATGTTAAAAGCAATGAGCAAGAAATCGGAGAGGCTGGAGTTAAGCTATCAGAGCGTCAACTCTGAAAACCAGAGGCTTCAGCAGATCTTGGAGAACAGCAGCAAAAAGATCCAGGAGCTAGAAAAAGAAATACAGGGAATGGGAAGTGAAAACCGGGTCCTCCAGAGAAACCTTGAGGAGCTAAAGATTTCTGCCAAAAAGCTAGAAAGGTTAGAAAAGGAGAACAAAGCCCTAGAACAAGAAATATCTCAGCTTGAGAAAGACAAAAAAATGCTAGAGAAAGAAACCAAACGGCTTTGGCAGCAAGTGGAGCTGAAAGATGCTATTTTGGATGATAGCACAGCGAAGTTGGCAGCTGCTGAGAAAGAAAACAAGACCCTTGAAAGGGAAATTGCTCGATTCAGAGATTCATCTAATAAGCTGAAAGAATTTGAAAAGGACAATAAAGATCTCATAAAGCAAGTTACAATTGATAAAAGAACACTAGCTACATTGAGAGAGGTAAGCAAAATAATACTACTGATTTCAAAATGGTGCTTTTGGGGTTTTTTCAGCTCTGTGAAGTACCAATGAGAGACAGCTGTCCCGTGACTGTTTAATACATGAGCTAGGAGATCTTCACAGTCTTAACAGCCATCACGGTGTAGTGTTGCCTTGGAAAGTGGAACTTGTCAAAAGCTGCAATGTACCACTTGTGTCCACAAACAAAATTCCTCCAAATTACATCTTTTTTCATGCAGAGTAGGGTTTTAACGCCGCTCCCACCTGGCAGCTGTAAACCAAAGACTGATACTTTCCCTAACCCTGTAACCACAAAATCGCTTGCTGAGAGCTTCAGTAGGGGAGATTGACTCTTAAACCTAGAAATTAGAGAACTTGTTGAGGACACAGTAACATCCCCATTCTAAAACACACTTAGCTACGACAAGAACCATCCCAGATGACCAACCTAACCCTTTAAAAAGCAGCTGCACCAAGTTTCTGCTGTACAGTTACCTCCAGCATTGTTTCCCAAAAGCTTCCATGCCGAGTGAGAGCGTGCTGAGCAGCTCTGTTGTTCAGCAGCAGCGATCTCTTCCAACACCCCTTTCCACTGCACAGTGCAGTAACTGCACTTCTCCTTGTAGTCATCTTTTAAAAATGCACGCTTAGCATTAGGACACTGGCAGACGAAAGATCGGTGTGGCAGAACCTGATGCTCTTGCAAGTGGTGCGTGAGCAGATTCAGGTTATGGCAACTTGCTCTCGTTGCCTGCCCCAGCTGCTGTTGTCCTGCTGGTAACACAAATTTCCTGTGAAAGAGCATTCCGAGGAAAACTGTCATTGCTGCGGTAGCTCACAGAAATAAGAGTTTAGCAAGACTAATGCAGTAAGCAATTAATTGTTTGAGGATTTAGTTTTATTTTTGGGGCGTGTGTGTGTAAAGCATTAGTGTAATTTTGAGGAGGAAAAGGAATTTATCAGAAACATTTTGGACAGTCCTAAGTTCTGTTTTTATCCAAATTTCCTTAAAAATAAATAAAATAAGAGCATTTCTGAGAACGATCCTTTTAAATCTTTCCCTTCTGAGACTTAGGCAAATTTCTGGAGATGCAGACCCATATAGAAGTGTATATTGTTTTCCTTGGTTTCTTTCTATAGATTCTACAGGAATTCATGGATATTGAATGGACCTATTCACAGAACATGGACTGACACTGACCTTAACCTGACCTTTTTTCCCCTCTCTATGTGAATATGTGGCTAAATTTGTGATATCAGAGGACTGTTGAATACCTACAGTTTGTTTAACACAGTTTTGTTTTGTTTTAATTTTTACTTTTATCCTTTCTTCTGTTTGATATGCGTAATAAGTTTTTTCTTACTTGAATGCCTCAGTAACTTTGTTCTTTCCTCATGCCTTGTTTAAGAAAACTTTTGGGCAGACACATAAGCAATATAGTTCTTTATGGTACATTTGCATTTCAGAGAATTTTGAATGGTAGGAATCTTTGAACTTGGCTATGGACCAAAAATGATTTGTCCTTTTTAAATATGCAGGCTGGTATTATGTCTTCTCAGGCCATTTCCATGCAGAACACTTCACTGGCATAACAGCAGAGCATTGTCCCATATACCTTCTGGTACAACTCCATCAAATGTCCTCCTCGTATGACTTCCTTGTCTGGTTCTGCTTCAGTATCTTAGAACTTAAAGGAACCTAAATGGAAGCAGAATGGGCTAGTAGATACCATAATAAGTGACCAAGCTATGTAGTCTTCAAAGCTGTCCTGTCTCTTACATGACAATCCAATTATGCTTGCTTAATTCTGGCAGTAATTTTCCTTATGTCAGAAACTCAGAGTCAGTAGTGAAAAATGCACTAAAACATCTCAGGAAACCTTCATGCTGAAGTCTTGTCCTTCCTCTCTGTGCCTGCCAGTGTTGGCTGGGCTCCTCAGCGGGGCTTTTTGGAGAGAGGTGGGAACTCCTGTGCCGGTGTCCCCTGACCCGCAAACATCCCTTGTGTGGCACAAGGGCGGGATGTTTCCTGGCCTGCACACGTTCCCTCTTTTGACCGGCAGACAGCGTGCAAGTGTTGGCGAAGTAATTCAGCACAGTGAGTGAGACAAAGGCCAAGAGAAGCATTCTTCAGATTTATTCCAAGAAATCTATAAATAAAAGCAATCAGTTTAATTCTGCACTCAGCTGTCACTGCTGAAGAATTTTAGCTGACCTTCTTGGAACTCGGATGTTATCCAGTGACTTTTTCAGCACTATTTAAAAAAACCTGTAGTGCTGGATAACTATCACTACCCTTTGCACTGCAACTACTCATGTTTGTGCTGTTACAGGATTTGGTCCTGGAGAAGCTGAAGAGTCAACAGCTGTCTAGTGAGCTGGACAAACTGAGCCAGGAACTGGAGAAGATAGGATTGAATAAAGAGCTGCTGCTACAGGATGATAACGGCAATGACGACACGTAAGGAAACTGAGCTCTCGTAATAATTTTTTTTGACTCTGCAGGCATTTCCTCAGCCTGTCTCAAGCACTTTGCTTTTCTTTTGGTACTTGTTTGTCTCACTCTAATTATCCTTACCAATTCTGGACATAAAGCATATTTTTCTGTGGTAAGCTTAGCAGTATACTGCCAGTTTTGCAAAACTTTTTCTTGGACGGATGGAAGGAAGAAATGTGATTCTGTCTCTCCATGCTGGGCAGTAGCCAATGTTAGTACAGTCCCCCTCTACTCCCAGCAGAGTAGTTGGGTAGCTATTTCAGTGTGTGTTCCTCCTCGTGTTTTTGTTACAAGTAAGAATAGTGTCTATTAGACAGTGTCTGTCATTGCTCCATGCAATTGGTGACCCAACCACCTGTTAATATAAACACAGATGTTGCCCAAGAAATTCCTGATGGCAAGGAATTCTTTTGCAAATCCTGTAGTTATGAGCAAAGAAACCCCCACAGCCCACGTCTATATAGGCCTCTTGGTAAGACCTAATTAGAGAAACTTACCCATCTTGTAGGAATCTTTGGAATCTACTGCAAATTTTTCTCCTTGTCAAGAATGTACAAACAAGCCATGAGAAGAAATTTTTGTAGTGTAATTAAGGGAAAATTAGAAAAAAAACTTACTTTCTTTTAAGTTATGTAGCTCTTACATATTCCTGTAGAACTGTGCTGGCCTTACCCCTATTAAAATAGATTAGAGTTTCCAAAAGCAGCTTCCCCAGCTATAATATATCAGTAGCAATCTGCAACAGTAGGGGAAATAATTTTCCTGAAGAAGGAAACACATGTAATGTAACATGTACCATTTGGACTGGGTGAAGTCTCCTGTATAAATGGTGGTTCGTGTCCTAGTGGCAGATGTTGGAAAGCTGTTCTCTTGTCTTTCAGAAAATACAAGATACTGGAGAGCAAAACTGAATCGGCACTAAAAACAACACTAGCTATGAAAGAGGAGAAGATTGCAATGCTGGAAGCTCAAGTGAAAGACTCTCTGAACTTGAACCAGCAGTTACAGAATGATCTAAATATGGTAAGAGGTTAACTGAGTTTTAATGGTTGATGATGTGGTTCTGCATGTTCACACGTGGTGGGTTTTTTTTTTTTTTACTTAGCAAGAGCAAGTTTTCTCTACTCCTGTACACAAACTTCCCAAAACCCTTTTTTGCCTTGACTGCTTTCTCTTGTCCCTTTCTATATAATGGCACCAATTTCAGCGAAACTGTCAGGCTGGGAGCATGGCAGGACATATTTTTACATAACCACTATTTGCAATCTCTGTTTTCCCATGTGTTTTTTCATTGCCATGGTTTTCTGCCTTGTTTAATGAAAGCATAGTCCGAGGGAAACTGTGGCTGAAACATCTCACCTAAGAACAGTCTGTTCGTTACGTGACAGTGAGCTTGAGTCAAAGGGCACCAGACTGGAAGCTGAGACATGGATTCCTCCACCTGTGTCTCAGCTTCGCTGTCTGAAGTGAGGGTAATGGTTCTTGAATCCCTTGAAGTCTCTACAGTGCAAGACAGGAACTACACATCCCATCATTGTGAATATAATGTCCCACTGTTGAATCAGTGTTGAAGGTTGCTGCTTGTCGTCTTTGCAGGTGAAGAAGGACTTCGATGCACTTAAGCAGACTCACCAAGATGGGCAGTATGCTCAGAAGTCACTGAGGTATTCTGTAGAGAAACTCATTCCCAACCACCAGATGAATGAGAAATTGGAAATGGGACACCGAGAAGCTACCATGGAGCTGCTGAAATTGAAGGACAGGGCAATTGAACTGGAAAGGAATGTAAGCTGCCTACTGTTTCCTGTTATCCCTCAGACTTCGTTGTGATCATGAGTGGGTTGCTGGGAACTGGATTTTTGAGCTTTTTAGGAATCTAGTGCGTTTTCTGGATCACTTAGGTCTGCCAAATTCCTCAGATGTCTCTTAGGACTTCATGGGACACTATATGTCCTGTATCACACCATTGCAGGGATTAATCCTGTGCATAACATCTGTCCCACCTTCATTTAATGTTGGGAAGAGTTTGCTTTTGCACATTTGTTGTTGCAGGATGACCATCACTAATTGGTTTTCATCTTTGGTAGGACTCCAAATGCCCGGGACAGTTTCATTTCTTCCTGTCACCCCATCAATGCCATCTCTCTTTCAGAATGCAGCCCTGCATACTGAGAAGCAGCTGCTTAAAGAACAGCTGAAGCATTTGGAAACACAGAATGTCTCCTTCAACAATCAGATCCTGACACTACAGAAGCAAAACGTCTTTCTTCAGGAACACAATACTACCCTGCAGACGCAGACGGCCAAACTACAGGTCAGGACAGCCTTACACCTCTGTGTAAGAAGACTGTCTTTAATTGTAGTGGTGTGGAGAAGACGACAGCTAATAAGAAAATGTTTGTATTAGTAGGCCAGGGTAGTGATGTAAAGATGAGGCATGTAAGGTGGAGCTTAGTTTGAGGTCTTAACTTCTGCAGGCTGGGAAGGAAAGTGGCTCTGTAGCTAATGTCTGGTAGCTGTTTTCATTAAGAAGGTAGTTACTTAGAGAGACATTTATAAAATCAATACAGCAAAATCCAGATGTGTTATTCCAGAAGCTGCACTTCTGAAATAAAAGATCTTTGCTCTTTTTTCTGTTAATGCCAAGCCTGTGAAAGAGCTTGGAAGAAATGGGAAGAGGACACAATTCAGCTCCCAAGAGGCATTGTAACAGTGGGTTCAGACAAAATGTCAAAGTTGTCAGTGGAAAACAGATACTCTTAAAGTTTACTTTAATTTTGAAAAAATAAACTTCACTTCAGAAAGAGAACAGTTTTAAAAGACAGCATTGGATTAGCTCTGTTTTTTTTGATGGGAATTCCCCTTTTCAAGTTTTTCCTCTCATATGTTCACAGATCTTATTTTTTTTCTGTGCTTGTTTCTCAGCTGCAATTGCAATATAGAAGCAACATATAAAATCAGTGCACTACCTGTGTGCTGAAATCAGGCTCATTAGGCATGCTGTGCCCATGCACAGTGGTGCAGTTAATTTTGATGAGTTTGGGTGAACTTAAATTTTCACTGCTCATACATAAACATGGGGTAACTTTGGCTTTGTACATGATTGTTAGGGATGTAGTTGAGTTCCGAGTATTCCAGCTTATCTTGGTCTTCAGGCTCAAGAGCTTCTGCTAGTAAAACAGTTTCAGTTTGGAGGTTATCCTGATGCTTTTCAGACCATTGATAGCATGGCTTTATATGATGCATTCTGCCAGCAATTCCAAAATGATGCCAAATTGTCCATAAATGTCTTAATCAAGAATGCATCTATTTCTTTGTAGACTTAACTCTGTACAGGTATAAGATGCTGCTACATGTTTGTTGTATATACCAGTAGGTGTAAATAACTAGTGCTTGCTTTTTATTTGAGAAACTTTAGGTAGAAAATTCAACCCTCAGCTCCCAGAGTGCTTCACTGATGGCCCAGAATGCTTTACTCCAAACTCAGCAGACAGCCAAGGAGAACGAGAATGAAAATCTACTGAAACAGAAGGAGCAGCTGAAAGCTGAGTATGAGTCATTGCTTCAGGACCACGAACACCTGGCTTCACTGCATGAACGGCAGTCTACAGAATATGAAATGCTAATAAACCAGCACAGCTGCCTGAAAACATTGCACAAAAACCTGGATCTGGAGCACAAAGGTCTGGGTGAGAGGTATGCTCACTGCTCGGGGGTGTAGTGTAGCCGGAACGTGCCTGTGTTACAATCTTAACCTTAAATGTCGGTCTCCAATTACAAATGGAAACTACTGAATAAGTTATTCTCCTGAAAAAGTATCTTCTCATTCTTGTTATCATTAGGAGATTAGATGAAAATATTTGCAAAGCTCTAGATTTTAGACCTATGAAGGTGGCAAACCACAGATGACTGCTGATACTAAGCAGACGTCAGTTGGGTCTTGGGGATGCTTTGTCAGAAGTAGCTTAAATACCTTTACTGCATTTAAGGATCTGCGCTATAAAAGCATGTAGCCTTAAATGCTTCTCCCAGTTCTACTGTGTGGAGTATCTTTTCTAGTCATGCAGTAAGGTCTGCAAGTCACCTAGGTAATTACCTATGTGTGAGTAGTATGTATCGTGAGAAACTTAAGTCACTGCAGATCATGCGTGGCATCAACTTCATGTCAAAGGGAGGCTTTCTGAAGGAAGCTGTATTGGGCTAGCTATGAGATAGTGTTCTATTCTTTATTTTCTTCTAATTCTTACAACCTAAGGCTTTTGCTTCAGGCTCTTGAATCAGTTGAACTGTGAAATCAGAATTCTCTCCTCATTGTTTAGTCTCTAGTCACAGGCATTTTCTGACAATTGTATGTAGATCAAACAATATATATATATATAATGTACTATTACATAAATAACATTCTGCCTCCCCTTCAAAACTTTTCTCATACAATCAAGTGATTTTCCTCAAAATACCTGTGTTTAGGTTCAGTTTCTGTGCAAGACTATGAGTTGGGTTTAAAGCAACTCAATGGTGATCTTTGAATGTGGCCTACAAGCTAGTGCTAAATTTTTCTTTCCCAAAGACTAAGGAGTTGGCAGTACAATGTGTGATAGATTTTGATAAAATACAGAAATAAACCTGTTGTGATTAGTGTTCACCAGGACCATGTGACAGGACAGCTGCTAGGCTGCCAGCTGAATGAGCTGTGAGCAATTACACAGCCACTGTGTCTGCTTACCAGGTCTCTCTCAGACTGATTAATGGTTCTCATCGATTCAGGCTTTGCTTGAGATTATCACACTGTGGTGTGTTGGGGCAGTTTGCTGGGTTCTTTCTTTTCTTGATGAGTACCAATTATTAAACAGTCTAACGAGGAAAAAGTGGTTTTCTAAAAACAGGATATTTCTAGTGGTATGTGCTCAGATCACCACTGTAAACGTTAATGATTTGGATTGTCCGTTACTGAGATGTGGCTGCCAGCGAGAGATGTTACAGGGGAGCAGATGGTAGCCTTTTTCTATACTCAAACCAGGTGATTTTGTCAGTTTTGAGTGCAGTGTCCTCTTAAGCCGATCAGTGTCAAAAGATACTTCTCAAGGTGGTGAGGCACTGGAACAGGTTGCCCAGAGAAGCTGCGGATGCCCCATCCCTGGAAGTGTTCAAGGCCAGGCTGGATGAGGCTTTGAGCAACCTGGTCTAGTGCAAGGTGTCCCTGCCCATGGGCAGGGAACTGGGGGTTGGAACTAGATGATCTTTAAGGTCCCTTCCAACCTAAACCATTCTATGATTCTATGATTTGTCCAAGGGCAACCTGTGTCTCCATTTGGCTGTCAGAAAAGAGACAAGTCACTTTGTGTGTATGTCTTGTTTTCTCTGTCATCTGCTATGTGCAGTTCAGCTGGCTGAGGGAGCAGAGAGGAGAGAGTGGGAGAAAGTTAGAGAAGCAGCTGTAGGAAAACTGTTTTCCTCTGCCAGTCTGAGGCATTTTCCTACTAGGATGAAATAGCTCACTTTGAACTGCAGCTAGAATGCACCACCTTGTAAGTTTTCCCGGAGCAGCTCAGTGCAGCCAAGAATTCTGCTTGTGCAGTGTCTGAGAGACAGGTTTTGCTTGTCCCAACTCCAAGGTAGTTTGCTTTTCTCAGTTGGTGACAGCCCTGTAATCGGAGTTCTGTTGCTTAAGGCAGGGTTGCACTCCTGTGCAAACCTGTGACTGCAGCTCACCTAGGAAAATCCACAGCACTTTAGCTCGGGCACTCCTAACACCGTGTACACCCAAGGTCCCCAAGGTTTGTAGTTCACTCTGAGTTCTAAACAGAGAGTATTTTCTGCACCTCAGCAAACTTCAGTAAACCTCCCTCGGCTCTATCTGCACCATATTAGCATCGCAGTGTAATAATGGGTTGTGTGTAACTGCAGTGAAATGGCCTGTCACAGCCCAGCAAACCACAGACACATGGGTTTGAGTTAGCGAGAGGAGGAGTGTTAGTATGTTAGGATCGTTAGCCATTAATAGCAGTGTCTTGACTCTGTGGTGTTTGGCTGCCCGTCTCCATGGACACAGAAAGGCTGGACTCTTTTGCTGCATTTTTAAAATTGCTTTACATATTGCACATTACTAAGGGGAGATAATAACTTACTAGCTACATTTGATAGCAGATCCTTGAGCATTTCTTTGTTGCTTACTCTGGAGAAGACGAATCCTGCAGAGACAGTGGAAAAAATTCATCTTACTGGTAAAACAGAATCCCTGCTGTGGAGGGTTACATATTACAGGGACTTGTATTATTGTGTTACCAAGACTGGCTGGTAATTATTTTTCTGGATTTCTTTTGCCACATGCTTTTTATCATACCTGAGCATTTTTAAAGTTCTCTCAGTCCCAAATACACATCCACAGTATTTCATGTAACAAAGCAGCAGAAGGAATGAAAGCCAAAAGGAGTAAAGAGGAATATGGCGGTTCAGTCCCAGGAACGGATTGTGTCAGAGCCAAAATAGATTTTATTTGCATGTAGAAGAAAATCTTTTTAAAACCCTTCTGTCCAAGTTCCTGATACTAAAAGAAGTGGAGTGATCAGAGTGTTGGACAGCCTACAGGATGGGTAATCTTGCCCCCATGGTAGAGCTTGTCAGGTTGTACACATCCGGCTCAATTGGTATGCTCCATGCTAGATCTGGACTACAAGAAGATTTTTGCCTGGGGATTTAATTTGTGCTTTACAGAGGCAGAATCATTTACATTTTTGCAGACAGTCTCTTCTTTCATACCTTTCACCTAATATCTGAAGGAGCAGCTGTGGTCTACCTCAGGAGTTTTCATGCTCAAAGGCAGCATGTGAAGCTGGGCCAAGCTGGTAAGACTGGACCAGTGTACTGCTTCCCTCTTTAAAAAATAGAGGGCTTGGCTAAACACGAAGGAGGTTAGCCCTATCCTACAGAAATGGCAGAAGAATTCACAGCACAGTTGCTGCAGAGGCAGCCATGGTAATCTCTGCCAAGGGCCTGACTGTGGGGTTTGTCTTCTCAGACTCTGGGTTGGCATGCAGTCTGTCTTAAATCCTTTTTGGAGCTGGATGTGAAACCTTCCTCTGCTTTCAGGTTCTTCCATTTGTTGTACAGACATTGAGTTTGAAATGTTCTGGAGCTGAATGGAGGAAGAAAACAAATAAATAAGGTTAATTAAACTCCTCTGCTGCTCCTGGGAATGAATAGCGAAAAGCAGCTTTTGTCTGCGAGACAGGTACTTTTCTGTGTGGCCCTTCAATGGGCTGGAATTTGGGACAGGCTGTAATTTGACCCTGGGATGAAGGGGATGGTAGCCTGAAAGAAAGAACAAGTTGGCAGGAGTCAGTGTACTTGGTGCTGTCTGCTGCTTTTGTTTGGAAGTTTTTGTGACTGCAGAGTAACTGTGCTCTGCATTCATCTCTGCTGGGATGAGTCTTGCAGATAGATGATGCTTTTCCTCTCTAGTTTTTCCAAGCAGTGTTGCATCTTCCACCTAGTTGCCGTTTTAAAATTGGTTAGAAGGATGTATTTCCATATCTGCCCAGGGATATTTCGGGGCAATATCCTTTTATCACTGTCACAGAACACTGTGCTGATGACTTTTTACATTCACTGTGCCTGTCTCCCCAGTGGCTTCTTCCTGCTGGTATGTGTGTATGGGTACGGGTGCTGACAGAGGCCACCAGAAGGAAAGACATCTTCTGAGAACAGTTTGCTGTTTTGTGAAGTGGTGTCAAGCCACCTCATTCCTTGCAGTGTTTTCCGAATGCAGGTGGTGTAGCAGCTCAGGAGGCTGAGCCTGCCTGATCGATGCCTGTGCCAAGTATCAGGGGTGGTGTTCCACACCTGTTATTTTAGCATTCCAGGGATGGAAATTAAAGAGGGCATCTGCCCTCTGTCTCTGACTGTCTCCCCACCCTGAATGATGTATTCACAAATTGTGTAAACCAAGTAACACCTGGATGTGAACACCAGTGCTGCTCTGGGGTTTCCCAGTTGCGAACAAGTAGAGCTGCTCAAGCAGGTGGGTCAGCCCCTGCTTAAAGGTGTTTTGGTGTCAGCTCACGGATCCGAGCCTCAGCGTCTGTCTGGAAGATGCACGAGACTGTTGCCTTGCATATATCCTCGTATGCATTAGGTGGTTACCTAATAAAACTCTTACTCCTCATTCCAGTGCTACTTGTTGCTTTTTGCCTAATGCTTTCTGCTGTTTGGCAAGGTTTTTTGGAACATGCCACTGACACCTATTTGTGAATGGGATTCCAGTTTAATGGTGCAGTTTCCACTCGCCCTGTAAACTTGTATGCTTTTTACCAAATGATCAGAATCTGGAATTGAAATAAAGTTCTGGCAAGTACATTCCAGTTTGCTTTAAAAATGCATTTTATTTTTTCTTTTTCTCAAAGCCTCCCCGTTGACTTACAGACTAAGCTGAATTTCCATGCATAGTGTGGAATTCTTCAGCCGTGGTGGATGTTTAACCACACAAATGTGTATGAAAATAAGCAGGCAAAAAAAAAAAAGTCCTTTCTGGTCTTTGTGCTATTACCTATTAAAATCTTAAACTACAGGAAGAAAAATGTTTAAATGAACGCTGAGAGTATGCCCCTCCTCTTCTTGCAGATACAACAGTTTAATGAAACACAAGGCAGAATTGGAAGAGTTGGAAATAGTTTTAAAAACTGAGAGAGAGGTTTTGCAACAAGAGAGGAGATCAAATGCAATAACTACTGGGGAAAATCAGAAGCTGAGGGAGGAACTGGACAGGTATGGTTGTCTTGCTAAATTCTTGTATACGTAATTATAAAGTCAATTATGCAAAACACAGCATTGTTTTGCTGTGTTGTTTTAACTGTAGCTCCAGAATACCTTCACTAATGTGTCCGTTAAATTTTCTTTTCAATTTCTGTCTTGTTAATTTGATCATTGTGTTTAACTCACTTAGGATGCTGTCAACAAATACTGTTATTCAGTGCTTCAGAGATGGTCTGATCCTGGGACTTTTGCTCATTCAAATTAAGCTTCCATGTGTGGTTCAGTTCACCAGTGTTTCTGTAATGAGTTATTTCCAAGCGCTTGGCTTGAAGTAGAACTACAAATACTCAAAACATCCATTAATATCTAAAGTGGTGTGAAATGGTTCCTACCCAGTTTCTTTCCCTTAAGGAGGAATTGGGTATGTTTTTTACACAACATAATGTAGTTCTGGGAGTTACTATTGCCGTTTATTTTCTGCTGCCCAAAGCAAGCTGCCATTTGTTAATACTCAAAAGAGACTTGATTCTTGTTATTAAAAGTGGGCTCAGTGATTTGGAGGATCACTGGGTAACTGTTAACTCGTGTCAAAACCCATTTGTGAGCTAGCATCTGAACTTCGCATAACGCAGCAGTAAAATGTACCCTCCTCCCCCAGCCTGCATGCCTACTGGGGCTCTCCTTATAACCACTTCAGTGCCACTGTTCATACTACAGAAGAGCTTGGAGAAATAGTTTGGTACAAATAAGGGGCCAAGGTCATATCGAGTTAAAGCAATATCAGAATGGATCATATTTAAAAAAATCACAAGTTCAGTCATGAAAGTTTTCATATGCTGAGCCAAGTTGTGATGTGCTTCAGAAGACTGCAGAGCTCCGCAAAGGAGGTTTCTTCAAGCCTGCTATTTTCAACTCAGGTTCTCTAGGGACAAAGGAAGAATGGTGCAAAATGTTGATTGTAGCTGGCAGAGAGCAAGGCTTAGCTGATCTGGCGGCAGATTCAGAACTTACATACTTCTTATTTATCCTTTATTTAATTTTATGCTTAATGATTTGTAGATATATTTGTATTTACCAAAGCTATAAAAGAATGTCACAGTATCATCTTAAAACATTACAATGTCTCATCATTTAGGATGCTTTAATGCTTATACTTCATGCATCAGGAAAATAATTCTGCGAGTGTTCTTCATTTGTGCCAAATAGAGCTGCCTTTATATCCAGATGCTCTTAAATACATTGTGCCTCAGAAATTTGTGGTCTGTTTCTTGCACATTGAGGAAATAGCAGTTTTATGGTTCATCTAGTTTTATTTTAATTCCTTTGTAGACCTGAAACATTTTATAATGCTATTCCTACAAAAAAAAAAGTATTATGCTTAGAATACAACTGTCTTTAAGAGTTACTCTTTGGAACTTAACATTTGATTTAGTGACAGCTGCACATTGATGTGGTCTTCGAATGTGAGGTACTTTCTCTGAAGTGTCCTTAATAATCCTGCTGGCTTCTTCGTGTTCAGGGTGAATTTCTTGCACAGCCAACTAAAGGCAGAGTATGAAGGGCTGCATTCACACACTAAAGAGCTGAAAACTGCCTTGAACAACTCTCAGCTGGAGCTGAATCGTTGGCAGGCTCGCTATGATGAGCTGAAGGAACAGCACCAGTCCATGGATATTTCTCTGACCAAGCTGGATAACCACTGTGAGGTGGGTAGCTGTAGGTGGGTGTACTGCTGGGTTCCTGTTAGAGTGCTAGCATTCATGGTGTGAAGCTTTTGGCCCATGACACACAGAAGGTCAAGCAATGTGGTCATAATAACAGCCCTGTATATTTCCATATCCTAGTTTGCTATGCTATCATGTTAGCTTGATTACAATGCACTTTCAGGGAAGCCAGACGCAAAGGAGAGATTAATCTGTCTTGTTCAATAGCTGCTGTCCCGTCTAAAGGGAAATCTGGAAGAAGAGAACCATCATCTCCTGAGTCAGATTCAGATGCTGAACCAGCAGAATCAGATGTTACTGGAGCAGAACATGGAGAACAAGGAGCAGTATCATGAAGAACAGAAACAGTACATGTAAGAAACTAGAGATTGGAATTGTGAAATGTGAAAAGTCATCAAGACAGACACAGAATACAAATCATCTATCAGGAGTAGAAGGACAGGCAGGGGAGTGATAGGTCTGCTTGATACCTGCTAGAAAAAGGGGGTTCAGGAGGAGATCTGTGTAATGGGGGAAAGCTACAAAATTTCTTTGCATTGCCTTACGGTAAAGGGATGGTGGGGAGACACCTGGGCAAGCACAGCTCTTTTCAAATAATATAGGTGAACCCATGTGGAAAACATAGTTACAGAAGATGGAATGCTAAACTCAGTGGTTGCAGCAAAAATTTAGACTTATGAGAGTAATTTTATTTTTAGATTCGTGAAGAACAGCAAATATTCATACTCCTAGTTTTTGTCATTTGTATTAGAAGAAATACTTGCTTTGATGTTGTTTTTAAGGGTGCAGGTGTCAGCATACATTGCTGCATCTCCCATGCACAAGGTAACATGCGTAAGTGAGATACCCTGTTTAAACATTCTGCATCTACAAAGAATCTTGTTTTCACTGCAGTGAATTTCTCTTACAGATATGAAAGAAGGAAGAAAAGTGTTCGTAATCCCAAGAATTTTAGTCTAGCACCTTAGGATGATGTGGGAGTTACTGATTGAGTTTTATTTCAGTACTGGATTATATGACTAAAACTTTAGAAGTAGTTTGAAATTTGTTCAAATGTACTCTTGGTATATTTATCCAGCTGTCTTACAGGTCTGTGATGGAGGTACATTAGACCTACTATTTGAATGAAAACATTTGGTAACATTGACTGTGCGGGATAATGCGTAAAAATATAGTAAGATTTACGTGGCACAGCTGAAAGTGCTTTGACACTGCTCGCAGGAGACCAAAGTAGCCTTAAAAAGACCACACATTATTTGTTTCTCTAGTTACAACAGAGTAAGCAGAACAGGAATAGAATATCCAGTTATGTAGACAAGAAGTTCGAACTATGCAAGGATCTTGACCCTTGAGTAATATTCAGTGATCTGTGAATAAGACTTGAACAATCAGCAAATCAATTTTCAGAAAAGCAGTATAAGATTCATCTTAACACCCACCAAACAAACTCTGCCTGAGTTATTAGTGAGTAATTTAGCACCATTCTGCTGTTGTTCTTTCACCTTTTGTGCTTATTGGACAAAAATCATCCATCAGCAAGTTTGGTAGGCTTTTGGCTTTTGCATTTGCCCTCTCTAAACAGACAGTGAGTGAGCTCAGTAGGATTCTAAAGGTTATGTGGTAGGAAGATATTTCAGTCTCTTTCCTCTCTTGGTGGCTTTTGGTCCTCAGTGTTTTGATTATGCTTAATTTCATACAGATGGTCAGAATGTGCTTTTCCCTCTCACAGTGATAAATTGAATGCCTTAAGGAGACACAAGGAAAAACTTGAAGAGAAGATAATGGATCAGTACAAGTTTTATGATCCTACTCCGAAAAAGTAAGTCCCATGTGCATTTAGTTCTGCTGCTGTTGTACATATTTCTGAGGGTGAGGCTCTCTATAACTGGGGATAACAGAAATTTCATCTGAAAGAAGGACCGTGTCATCTCCATTTCTCTCTTCACTCGCTCCACAAGCCATTCCCTGAAGCAGCAGGTTGTGTTACAGCAGGTTGTGTTAATAGAGAGCACAGTACCTCACATGGGACCCCCTGTTTTGATACTGGAATCTGAAACAGTATTAATTGAAAAAGAGCCGCATTGCCCTGATGAAGTCATCATCTTGTCCCTAGCCAGCCCCAATATTAATAGGGAGCCCTCCCCCGGCTAAAGCAGCATTAGGAGCTCCAGAGTTGCTGTTTCAGAGGGGGTAAGCAGCCCATCGGAGAGAAAGGACTTAAAATTATATTAAAAAAAAAAAACAAAGAGCTAAGCCAGTTCCACAACACATAGTTCTGACTGCCTGAGCAAAGAGAGGGATTCATCTTTAGAGCAGTTTTCATTTCTTCTCAGTCTGTTCTGTAGTAGAGCTTTTCACACTCTTAAAATGTCTTCTGTGGGTCCATATGTGTAGTTTAGATTTCTAGCAGAGGGAATGGTTGTCTTTCTCACATTCCTCATGCTGAAGAAATATTTCTGTAAAATAAGTTTGACGTTGGGAGAGAAATAGATCTCAGGCTCTGTGAAATTCTTGCTGCATCTTTCCAACCAATTCATGACAGTCAACAAACAAGAATGTAGGATGGCTTGATGGATCTAGCACAGCTGTACGCTTGCTTGGGAGTGTTTCTTGTGGTGTTTGATGAATCCCATTCACAAAACCTGCTTTATCAGGAAAAACCACTGGATTGGAGCCAGAGCCTTAGTCAAACTAATCAAGCCAAAGAAGGAGACTACAAGGGAGCGGTTGAAACCAGCAGCAGAAAGCTCTCCATGGCATTCTGAACCCCCAGAGATGATAAAGTCTCCATCTGCCTCCCAAAAATTGAAACATCAGCAAGAGACTCAGGATAATACCTCTCAAGGGTCAAACTCTATGGAAGAGAGAGAGAACCCTGGGGATTCTTCAAACAAAGGTAAGGAACAGTATTGTTTGGAAAAGATTTCAGAAATACTTTTAAAAGATTTAGTATACAGGATATGTTAATACTCCACATTCTGTTTTATGTTCCTTTTTTTAGTAAACTAAACGTTTTACTAAGCAAAAAACCCCTTAACTTAAAAAGCTGAGTGAACTAAAAGGTGTGGTGGTGTTCTGGTTTTAGTTTGGTTTGTTCCTTTTATCTACTACTTCTCCCTTCAGCTTTTGTGTATAGTTTCTTGGGTTTTTTTGTTACATGTTACTGAATAAGAGGGTGGAAATACTTCATTTGCTGGGGTTTTGCAACAAAGCAATTTAAAGTTGGACCATGTAATATGATTCATGAGCAACTGTTCTTCAGATGAGTAATAGCTGGGTTTACAGCCACCGCCAGGAGATGGCGCACGTGCAAAAGAAATAATCTAGAAAATGCTAATTTTTTGTAATCTAATTATTTTGGAGGACAATACTGTGTTCTGACTTAAAATCAAATTCAGAAATTCTTAATGTAAAATGATGAAATTGGTTTTTTGAACTGTAAGGCGAAGGTGAGGAAGATGGAATGATTGGTTTTTCTGTTCAGTTAGTTCATACAGTAACAGGTGTTCCTGGTTATGGGAAATTTAAAAGAATTCCTCAAAATAAATACTCTGTGGTCTTTATTAAAGGTAATCTATATCCCAAGCTTTGCTTATGCTGTTGAGATCACTTCTTTCAGCTTTGATGTATAGATTATTGTCCTCCAGGAATACTTTTCAAGAAGCAGTTTAAATTAATCTTAAATAATAATTCCTGTCTTCCCACTGGGGAGTGTGGGAAACAGAAGGGGAGCAGCTCAGAGGGTAGAACTGTTGGTATAAACTACTGCAAGTGTCTGGCTGCAGTTTTATCTTTGATTGGGTTTCATAGTTCCCTTTCTTCATTCTAATTCTTCGAGGTTGTTGATTCACTTAAAATAAAAATGCATGTCTTAGATCATCCATGTGACTCCAGATGTTGTGTTTAACGTGCATCCAAACTTCAACTTGGGAATTTGGCTTGTTTTTCCATGGAACGAGGCCCTTGTGGAGTGCCGGAGATAACAGAAAGTCTCTGGGCCCTCATTGTTTTTGGTGTTACATGAAGCATGCTTATGTTGAGAGGATGAGCATCAGTAGTAAAGCCTAGAAGACATCTAGGACATTTGAGTATACTATCACCAAGTAACGTGCACACCTATTTGGTTTTATTTGAATAAGTGAAAACATTTTGGGTGATCTAACAGTAATTTCTGTTGGACTTGTTTATATTTTACGTATATGCGTTAATGTATGTGTTAATCTGAGTCAAATTAACTACACGTTAATCAGTCCTCCAATATATGTTAGTAATTAAGCTTTACTTGTTTTATTGGTTGTGTAGTCTTTAATCTGTGTTAAGACACTTGTAAGTTTTATTTACAAGGGTTTTTTTACTTTTTTCTTCTTCTTCTTTTTGGGATACCTGGGTGATAACAATTTAGCTGCTCAGCGCAAAAAGATTCACTTTTTGAGAAGCAAAAGCAAGGATAAAGAAAAGTCTCCTAAGTCTCCACCGAATCATCAGTCTCTCTCTAATCGGCTCCGGTTCTGGTCGTCTTCCGACATGCCATCCTCTCCTAATGAGCCTCTTTCTTTCCCGGAATTGGGAGATTTCTAACACCTTTTCTTTAACATTTATCTTCGTTTATTTCTGAAAAATATTTTAAACAAACAAACTCCCATGTGCCTTTAAAGAACACACACCTCGATAGAAACACTCAGCATGCCCTTGCAATACTCTAAATACAAGCACAAATTAGCGAACACGGACTTAAGTTTTCCTGTAGAAGATGAATCACTGTTGCACACTGTGGATCATTTCTTCAATGCAGCACATTTTTAGGGGACCTCTTGGCATACAGTTTGCGTATGTATATTGGCTGTGGTGCATGTTATAAGTGAGTGAAGTTGCTATACGCTTCGCTATTTTCTTGCAGTCACATACTTGCATCGTGTCCGGTTAAAGCGTTGAACTGATTTGCTGTCGCTGCGCTTTCTGCAGTGTTGTAGCCCTACTAAAATACAAATTAATATATAAGCAGTCTCAAACCCTGAAGATTTTTCCAATATTCTGTGCCACTCAATGCTAAAATGGCATTTATTTTAACATCTTTGTCTGCTTTTAAATAGTCTCACTTCGAACACAGAGTGGAAGCTACTGGGAAAATCATTCTCCTCAAAGCGTCTTGATGTTTGCGTTCAAACGTGCTGTTTAGCAAGGTTTCACACTTCTAGCTATGAAAATTCATCTTGAATTGAGCTAAAGTTTCAGTTTCTGCTGCTTCAGTTTTGACAGATATTTTTGGAAGAAGAAAATAGATATGTTCTCTTAAGATTGGGAATAACCGTCATCATGGATCGATGGATCCATGAATTCTTCCAGCTTGGTAGTCACAACCTGGTGCCTTCTGAAATGAGTGTGTGGGTCCAGTCACCGCTCTGTGTTAGGGAAACTCAGGCAATACGCTATGGGGAGCTCAGTGGAGAGGCCAAGAGATCTCCTCCCCCTTCTCACTCAGAGAAGTGGTCCCTCTGTGGCACAACCAGGGGCACTGGCACAACAGCCTGTCGCTGCCCATTTTGGGATTTGCAGAGAAGGTTTGTTTCCAGGGAAGTTAACAATTCAGTCTTCCAATCTGTGGAAGGCATTATGTGCATCAACAAAGTCAATTAGAAATACAGATTTGCATGCCAAGCTTTAGCCAGTAATTGCCCTTACAGGCATGCCATGAACTTCAGTTCCAAGAGCAAGTGCCAGCCCTCTGCTGTGGAGCCCACGCAGACTGTGGGAGAAAATGCTGTTGCTGCAGTCAGCTTCCAGGACTCATACAAGATGACAGTAACTTGGACCATTTCTCTAATACAGCTTTGCTGCTGCTCTGCCTTGAACTAACTGTGTGTCCGTTGTCTCTGCAAGTTGTTTATTTTGACCACTGCTCTCTGCTGGGTTTTCAGCATGTTGTTACTATTTGTTAAGAGCTCCATAGAGATATACAGAAAACTAGACTCTTGCATCTCATTAAAGGTGTTTCCTATAATAAATTCTTAACATTTTGTTCTATTTTGTGTGCCTTAAAGCATTAGGTTCACATTACAAGAAATAAATTAACCTACCTAATCATTAGGAAAGATGTCTTCAGCTTTCTGAATCTAAATAATGTTCTAGCGTGTAGTTTTTGTTGTTCTCATGCCAAGATCCCAGGAGTTCCACTTAAAAATCATTGCACAAGACCACCATAAGAGCAGCAGTTTTAACCTTGTAGAGACTGAGCTCTTACCCCACAGCAACAATCTAAACCTGAAAGCAATTCGCTTAGTGTGTGGATCATGCTAGATAATTTCCAAATCAGCATTATTTCTCTTTGAGTAAGAGCGTGACTCCTGTCACTCTTCCCTTAATCTATTTTATTACTGAAGTAAGTGCTTATAAAATGTACCTGCAAGGAATAATGTTATGGGAATTTCACACCTCACTTTTTCTCTTCTGCATTCATGTCTTTACTCCTTTTCTTCCTCCTTTCATGGTAATTGTTGCATGTATAATATCAAGCCTCCCACTGGCACTAAGCAGCCCTTGTCACTCCCACACTTTACAGAGAGCACACACGACTGAAAAACTGGTGGCAGAATTTTCCTATCCAATACTGAACTGTTTATGGAAAAGCTTGCAAAACTAGCGCCTCTGTCGTGCAGTTTCTTTGTGCCTGCTTGTCATGTTTGTATGGGCAGATAAATACAAATCCCCTAATGCTATTTTTTAACTGACTCGTATTTATTTACCTCTCTCCCCCTCAGTGCTAATAGACCTAAAGCAAAAGAGGAATTCCCATCACGGAGGCAGCAATGACAATGTTGAAATCTCGGCAGGCTCTGCGGCAAAACACTGCTGTGTGGAGCTGGGTCCCAGGACTTACTCGACCTCAGCTATTCATCTGCACACTTCCACCCCCATCCCCAGGCTCCAGAGCCGACCAAAAGGTGTGTCTCCGGTGCATTTGATACACCAGCTGTTGGGACAGTCTGGCTGCTTCGTAGTTCCTGCTTGGGTGAAACATGGCTTCTTCCTGCACTCAAGTACAGAACCAGAGCACTAGTATTTTCACTCCTACTTTATCTGCTTAATGGTTTAACTGATCAGATACAGGGTTTCCTCACCCTGTTAGTGTCATAAACTTGACAGACCACATTTGGATGTCAGTTCGCCCATGGTTCCCAGCCCAGTGGGTCATAGCAGTGATGAGATGACAGCTGCTCTTCCTATATGGGGTCTATAAAAGCCTCTTGATCACCTCAGTCTTCTGCACCGCTAGAATGCGTTGGAGACTGACCTGAAGTGTTAACCTTCCTGTGTTTAATATTGCCTTCCACGTTTTGTGTTCTTTTCAGGCTATAACTCAGAAGATAATCTATGTGAACAGTCCCCTGAGGTAGAGTTTGCAAGCACCAGACAGCACGGTAAGCTCGTAGCGTAGTCAAATGCCCTAAGCCTCTACAGTAAGACTTGTTTCATTGCATCCATGTGAACTGTCCTGGAGCATTTTAGTTAAATTAACGTGGTAGAATGAGATGTAGTAATGCAACACCATTTTGGGAATGTGGGTGTAAGTACTTCTGGTTTTCTACTGAGAAGCTTTTAATGGACGTTTTCCCAAAATAAATTTTCAAAACCAATGCTGACATTGAGACAAGTTGCCTTGCCCTAACAACAGACCATTTGATGCATGTCCTACAGTTTTGCAGATGATTTTTCTGGACAATGTTTAGTTCCCTCTCTAAGGGAGGGAATCAGCAATAAAAAAAATGCGGGGTGGGGGGTGTGGATGCTCGGTGAAAACACTGGTGCAGCAGCAGCACTGCCTGCTTAGAGGTTTGTGGAAGATTTAGTTTGCAGGCTGATTACCAGCTCCTTCCAAAGAAACGAAATGAGAAAGAGACAGCAACTTATTGTTGAACTTCTTAAGTATTTAGATTACTTTGTTTACAGTTGCTGTAAAAGCAAAGCCAAGAACATACTTCTCTGTGCAAAAAATAAGTGAGAAAAATAAGATGGATCCTGAGCCACTTGACTTGAAAAATGAAAATGGCTTCTGCTGGGTCCAGACTTCGGCATCCTGTGTTTATTACGTTCTCAGTGTTTTCAAACTGACTTAGTTGCACACATCCTATTTTTAGAAGGCAGACTGTAGCCAAGTCTTAGAGAATCAGAGGAACTTAAGATCTGTTTGTTCAATGCTTGTTTTGTGTTTTTCAGTGTCCAGGCCAAACAGTTTAGAGAGCAGTAGAAACGTTTCCAGCAGTAGTTCACCTCTCAATTTGAAAGGTAAAGTTTTTACAGTACGGTTCTGACAAACAGGTAGTCAAATTCCATGAAACTGTGTGCAAAATGCCATTTTCCTTCCGATTTAATTTGAAGACTGTTGTTTTGAAATTGTAACGATTATGCAATCTGGAATTGCAATTGCTGTCTTTGGAATCAAAACTGCTGGCAAGAAGTATTTTTCTGAGATTGATTCTGGCAAGGGGTGGCTTTTAAGGCAGGCAGTCTAGTTTTGCTTCTGTCTGTCGTCATGTCGTGGGAAGTATCAGGCCACTCTTAGACTTATTCTACAACAGGTCTCTGCTGTTCTTACTGCGCACACAGCTTGTGTGTGGAATCAGTGCGATCTGGAAACTGGCTTTTGCTGAAATTGTGCATCCTTGAAGAATGCCAGGAGACCTGGCACTGTGGAAGATCCACTTTCTGCTTTCCCACTGCCAGGTTTTGACTCTCAGATCACACACAGCCAAGACTGGGAGGTCTTCTAGTGGCACAGAGGTGGTAAAGAGGCCCCCTCACTGTCTGTGTTATTCCTCCTCTTTGGAGAAGTAGTTGTGCTTGTTTAAGACAGGGGCTCAAAGTATGTATGCGAAGACATTTACTAGGTCTGATTTTTCAAAGTTCTCACTGCCTTGAGTCCTGTGGGAGAAGAAAGTAAGGTCAAAAATGTCACCTCATTCCTACCTTAGTGAGAAATGTACTGAAATAAGGGAAGAACAGTGTCTTTAATGATATTTATGCTTCTCCTCAGGTTCCTTAGATCATATCCATGGTAGAACCGAGAGTCTCAGCAGTGAAGATAGGGTGCCAAGCAGAGATGCACCAGCCTTACTCCGAGATGCCTATCCCTTTCACTCTGCTTCTGCCTTCCTAAGCTCAAGCAGCAGGCGTGAGTCCTCCTCCCAGAGGAATGAATTGATCTCTTATGATACGCCTCAGAAGTGTATTCCATCCCAGTCTTACGCAGGCAGGCAGCGATCTGCCTCACCAGGCAGTGAGATGGTAACTTTGGAAGAGTTCTTGGAAGAGAGCAACAAGCTGTCCCCACCAAGTGTAAGTAATTGGAGATGGATGCCCATCTCAGATGTCAAAAAACTGGTCAAAGCTGATTCAGGAGAATGAAGGCACAGGGAAACAAGGAAAGGCAAGAAGATCCTTGTTCATATGTGTGGAACTTGCAGAGAACTGTGGAATCTTGCAAAATGAATGAAACAGTTCCAGCAACTGAGGCAAGATTAACTTTCACATAGCACTCTGCTAACTTATTTTGGTCTCAGCTATGGCAAGTCAGACAGTTCACTGGAAGTACTGTATGTGTCTGACTGCTGGGGCTCTTTAACATCAAACACTTGTGGTCAAGGTTTCGTATTATATCGTCAGTTCTCAGCTCTAGGTATTTTTATCTGTGAACGGATAGGTTTTCTGTGTAATTTTCAGCTGCTGAATCTGTAATTAGAAATGAAACCTAACAGTAGTTTTCAATTGAAGTGCAAAATATGCAGCTGTTAAAACCACTTCCTAATCTGAAAATACCATCAGTGCGTTTGAGAGAGAGTACTTATCTTGCCGAAGGAATTTCTCGATGCCTTCACCATGCTGTGTGTTTGTGTGCTGACGGTCACTGTGCTGTTGGTTCAGTGACTGCAAGGATATGTTGCACGCTGAAGTGCTTTGTCAGAAATTAAATGTTTGTTTCCTTGGTGGTATTTGTCTTTTACTGCTCAGACATGCGGTACAGTAGTGAGGCGGTGTGGTGTCGAGCATGTTAATATCTTAGGAACAATTCATTGGTAGTGGAAGTGAGCATATGTTTATTACATGAATGCCTTAGTAACGGTATTGAAATCAACAGAGCTGTACCATTTCATGGCATCAGTAAATTCTGGTCCTTGAATTTTCAGAGCAATATTTAAACATGCTTTCTATTCCTTTGTTATCTTAAATACAATCCTTAGCTTTTAGAGATGTTTAAAATGTGTCACTTCAATTTTTTTTGTCTGTAACTATCTGACCATGTCTCCATTTTCATTCTTTCTGTCATCCTTGTTCCTTTTCAGCGTCGTCGCAGTTTAAATGGGAGTGAAATGATTTCATTGCACCAATTTCTGTTAGAAGCTGATGCACTGTATCCCTCTTGCTACTCCCTATGTCCTTCCCTCCATCGGGAACCTTCACAGTCAGTTGAATCGGTCCTCAGCCATTCGTGTCCTGACAGCGTGAGGCACAGAACAGGCAGGGGAAATAGGAGGTCTACTTCACTGCATATCCCCAGGGTATCCGTTGTTCTTGCTATGAAGGCAACAGCTCCCAACTTACACAGCTTTTGCTAGCATATTATTACCTATAGAAGCATACTGTAACTCTTTGCTGTTATTTTAAAGGCTGCCAGATCACTTGCATTAATTGCTCAGAAATTATTTCCAGTTCTTGTTCAAAAACATGCGTGTTTTCGGAGGACTAGTCATTCTGTAATGTTAATGTGGGTAACAGCAGTTTAAAATGAAGTTAAAAATAACCCTAATGCTTTAACATGTAGTTGAGCATAGAGATCTTCCTGCAGCACTATTACCCTTGACAGTGTTTGCTTCTAGCAAATGAGTTTTTTGACTGGAAGAAATTTTTGAAACACTGAAATGAATATGTTAAGCTTTAACATAACTGTAGAGAAGAGTAAAGAAACAAATTCCAGGAGCTTGTTTCAGTGTATTTTCATGAAGATAGCATGTCCCTTAACTACGCTGAGCATGCTTCATACTAATAGTCCAATGGCACCTGATCAAACGTCACCATTTTTCTGTTGCATGGACCATCCCCATGAAATATTCATTGTATGTTTTCCTTTACTGCCAGGTTAATTGTCTGACTTGAAATTTGCAAGTTAGTTGTGGGCAAGCAATCGTATCTCCTTTTTTTTTTTTTTAATGATTGTGGTACATTTCATTATATTGTACACGCAGCTTTTAACATGTGTGGTATGTTGACTGGGAGAGGGGAGGGGAATCGATGGAGAAGCAATGGAACTTTCTTGTAATGCTAGCACATCTCCCCGGGGTGTTTTCTCCTGCTGTATCCCTGAAGTTACCGTAGAGTGTTATCCAGATGAACTCTTACTCTGAACGATGACAGACCATCCTTGATATCTGCTGATACCCATGACTGTTACCATTAATATGATGTTGATGTTGCAGTAACAGTGGCTGATGTGAAAGGAAGCAGATGAGCTGCTGCTCAGGTTGCAAGTGAAATGAAACTTTTCCAATTTGTGACAATTAATCTGGCAAACAAGGCTGTCGTGATCTAATCATGATGAGCATGTTACTCTTTGGTTTGGATTTATACCCGTTCTAAACATTTATATCTTCTGTTCCCCACTTTAAATATAAAATCTAAGGCTGTGTTTGGGTTGATTTAAGTGGGAAGCAAGATTATCTGAACACAAAGCTCTGCATGATTCTTTATATAAAAAATGCAGTCATTAATGTTGCATGTGCCTATTTTCTCACACCAGGACACCTCCAGTAACAGAGATGACTTGCTCAGCGATTATTTTAGGAAAGCAAATGAGCCTCCAGCTACTGGGAACCTGCTGGTTCAGCCATCCAGAAAGGAGGGTGCTAAGACGCCCATGAGTCTTGCTGCTCCAACTCTAAAGATGACCATCACCGACGAAGAAGGAAAAATGGCTAAGCCTGGAAATTACATGAAGCCAAACCTCAGACAAGTCGAACCCGAGCCCCTGGCAAACTCCCAGGGGTCCCTTAAGCTTCCTCACACGCCACAGCACCAGCCTGCCAGTGGGATGCGGCAGATGGCACAGCCTCAGCAGCCTGGAACCGCGAGCAGGAGGAGTACGTCACTGAGCAGGGCATTTAGCTTAGCCTCTGCGGACCTCCTCAGAGCCACCGGCCCAGAGACGTACAGGCAGGAGAGCCCTCAGAAGTCCGTAGCACACCTACGTGGGGGCAAGAATGCCATCAGTCAGCCTGCTAGGGCTTCTATGCCAACGAGCTCCCAGGCAACCTTAAGGGAGAGGCCACAGTCTGCAAAGGCAGCAGGTTCTTTGCAAGGTGTCGATTCCCGCTGCCGGCAGCTTGACACGAGACGCCTTTCCCTGGCCCCACCAAAAGATGAGAGGCCGCTCTCTTTCCATCAGGTCTCTGTCTCACCCACTGCATCCACCAGCAATCTGAATGTGCAACAAGAGTGTGTGAACCCTGGGCAGCACTACTCACCCGCATCGCACATTCCCTCTAGAGTCAAACCTAAGCCAGCCCCTCGTACAGGGGAGGTGGCCACAGTGGCCCCTGCCATAGCTGTTTCCAACAGCACTGAGGGAAATGCATCCCTAGGACAAGGTGATGCCCTACTCACCAAGTGCCAGGGTAGGCTGCCAGAAGGCAGCACTGGGGCTGTGGAGGAGCACATGAGAGGAAGCAGCTCAAACAGCACTCCCGGGTCTCCAGACCCCCAGGGGGATCAGCAGACGGTTTGGTATGAGTATGGGTGTGTGTAACCCACAGATGCAGCTAGTAGTATGTGTCTGGTATTGCTGACGTCCGCATAATGTTTGTCTAGACGCTGGGCCAGGTCTTAAAAGGCATCACCTGCGTACACTGCTCTGAGTATTCTCCGGGGACTGTTTTCTGGTCGGACAAAGTATGATTAAGAAAAACAAGGAGCAAAAACCCAGCCCTTCTTTTGACACTGTTGTGCCTAAAACAAAGTGGAAGCCTGACTAATCTCACAGCAGGCCTGGCACCTTATTCTCACAGGTGCTGAGCACTCCCTGATCCAGGAAAAGCTTAGCAGGGTCCTCTGTCACTGCTGCACCCCTTCTGCCTGCATTAAAGAAGAGTTTCACAGGTCGTGTGTCTGTGCTGAACCCAGCCACACCACTGATAAATAACCATACCGAAAAGGTCATGTAAAAACCACACTTCTCCCCCCACAGACAGAACCAGGTAATTGGCTTAAGTAGCTTAGAGAGAAAGCTGAAGAGCAACAGTGTGTGTCTTTAGCCATGGATCTGTTAAAATTGGTTCTTGTTGCCAGAGCCCCATTTTATAGAGGTAATGTGTAGACTGAAAGGGTCACATCTCAACCATCCCCACTGGGACTGTGTGAACACAGAGAGGTCAGTGTAATTACCCCACTGCCTTCACTATAGCTGCATCTCAGTGGATCCTTGACACTGCAAGCCAAGTGGTGCTGCCTTTTGAAACTTGTTTTACCTTTTATACAAACACTGGAACTAATGCAGCCTTTCAGGGGAGATGTCATTTCAGTTGCAAAGGTGGCATCTCGTGTACAAAAGTGGCTTGTAAGTATGTATATAAGAAACTCGAGTGTTGTATAGGAATGCTGTGTAAATTGTATGATTACATCCTTGTGTGTGTGACAGCCCACATCCTAAGTGGTATGTGGGGTTTTGTCTCTTAGAAATCCTTATTCATGTCTCCAAGAACTTTCCTCAGTATAGAATGCAAAATAATTTTGTACACATGTGAAAGAAATATACTTTAAAAAATCTATTTATGTGCAAAGAAGTTCCTTGTATGCCTCTGTCCAGAGTGTCATCAGCTGCATATGTATATATGATCAAATGTGTATCTTTAATTCTATTTCCTGTTTGTAAAGCTGTTTTTCTTGGAATAGACTAAATCCTTTAAAAAAAAAAAGTTTTTCTGGTTCTGATTTAATCTAGTAAAAGCTAAAACTGATTCAGCTGAGGATGTTTTTGTTATCTAGTATGTAGTAATGCCATTTTGCAAACTACAAAATTGTTTATAATAAACAAAATAAAATAGATGGGGGATTTACTTTTTTCTTTGAAAAGAAACCCAACAAACTATGATTCATGGTGCTGGATGGAGATGTGTTTGCAGTAGCTTTGTGTAAGCCTCAGTATTGATTTGCATCTCTGTGGGGCAGAGTTGCATTTGTTTTCATAATGTTGCCACCAAAGATTTATCAGAAATCTTTTCTGTTTGATTATAACCTTCTTACTGAAGACTTTAGGAGGATTGATCATGCAAATTACATGAATTTCAGGTCAGTGTAGAATCAGACCATTAGATTTTCATGCTTCTCTGACCACTTCAGATAGTGCCTATTATGTTGTCGGTTTTAACCAAGCTTGCATTTTGTACAATCTGTTTCATGCTTCACTCTCAGGATACTGTACAAAAGTGAGAAATTATTCATCTTTGAACTTTCTACCTTCTCTGCTATTTTAATTGCAAACCATAGTTTTGCAACAATTCAAAATTATGTGCTATATAGAAGTTTTAGAACATACTGAGTGGTTTTGGTGAACTGAAATTCTTCTGCCATAAATCCCCTCTCAACACTGATAGTTGACCAGATCACTAAAGATGAAAGACTGGTGTTTCTCCCTTTTTCAGCTCTGTTTTGAAGGCCTGTGCTGGAGTGCCCTGCAGGCTGGGCTGCTGAGGAATGGTCTGTGAGTTGGCAGTTACTGGAGATTTGGTTTTTGCTATGAATACCTGCCCAGTCACTTAAACATTAGTGGTCACTTTCTGAGTTATTTACTGTTATTTACTGTCTTGGTTCTAGTGAGTTTGAATAAAAATGTACTTAATATTTGCACAGTACTTTGCAAGTGTAGGATAGTTTTAAGTACCTACATTATAACATAGAACAACCGTTGAAGCACATGATGCTGTGGAACTTGGGCCTTCCTGAGAATATTAAGGAAAATCTTGGTATAGGGGCCTGTCCTGCTGTGGCAGATGCTGTCATTTTTCAATCTACTCAATTCATTGTTTTCAACTCTTCTTTGGTAAGGCTCTGTGGCTCCCAGCTAAGTGCCACCATCAGGTAAGAAATAAGGTGGGAGGGAAATGAGGCCTGCCCACAGCTACAGTGCTACTACTTTTTGCCTCTGTGGGGTGCCCAGAGCAGTCATCTGTAGGATAAATGGATATTTCTGTTAGTCAAAGGTAACACAGGAGAAAAGTCAGTTGTGTTCAGAGAGAGTGATGGACAGCTCTCGCGCCTCAGTACCAGCTGAGCTGCCCAGGTGGAGCTGCTGTGAGGCGCTGCCTCGCCTGAGGTGGCAGGAGCAGCTGGGAGAGGCTTTTCGGTGAGGGAGAGGTGAGGGCACAGGGCTGCCAGGCCATCTCGGCCTTCCGGATTCCTTCCAAGAAGAAAAGGGGGATTGCGATGAAATCGTGGCTGTTTCAATTTGGACGACTTTGAAGGCTGCTGGGACGGACCGTGTGTGGGCAGGCAGCCGGGCCGGGCCATTCGGCGTGCCAGCAGGGAGCTGGTGAGCTGCCCGCTCCAGCTGTGCACGGGTGCGCGTTGAGCTCCGGGGAGAAGGGGCCTCTGTAGGAGCCCTGGGCTTCAGCATGCGGGCTTTTCCCAGCTCCGTGTGGCAAAGGGCTGTAGGATGCTGTTTCCTGACGTGGGGAAGTGTGTGCTCTCAGAAGATTGCTACGTAGGTGTGCTAAATAATGCTGTGAATGTCCTGGATGTACCACTTCAAGAGACGTTGCTTACTACTGGAGTGCCAGTTTGTATAGGTGACTCAAATTCTCTAGATCATGTTTTCTGTTAAAGGGCAGATTTTTGAAGGGGATCCGATCCCAAGGAATAGCTGATAGGTTTCTGAGAGAGCCAAGGGACTATGCCTTGGGCAACTCCTTCTCCCTGCTGTGTGTTCAGAAGTCAGCGTTGCTTTTTAACGTAAGGAAACAGATTTTGCTTAAAATTGCACACACTGCATGAGGATGGTATTTGCTTGAAGAAATGGCTGCTGTGACAATTGCTTTTAGGGAGTTGTGCACTCTGTAGCGAGAGAGTATCTCCTTACCAAGAAATCTGAAATCTGTCCTTTAGAGAGAGAGACTTTGTCATGGAAACCTTTTTCTTATTTCACGTTCTTCAGCTGTTCCTCAAACTTGGGAGCTGATCATGAAGAGGGCAGATTCTTCTGATTTCAGTTAATTCAGTTCAGAACATAAAATCTCCCAAAGAAGAATTAAAAAAAAGAGAATTTACATTTTTTCTGTAACGAGGGAAGTCCTGAGTGCATTGTAATAATGCCTAGTATTTAGCTTGGCAAAATGATGCATGAAAGAACGCCATGTGGTAGGAAACTGTTTCTGATGATCCAGATGTTTGGGGGCATGTAAGAAGTTCAGCCAAAGGTAGATGACTGAGACAGAACAGTTGTTAGTTCATGTGAAATGACTATGACCTGGATGTTAGATGGATGTGAAGAGACTAACACTTTTTTTTTTTTTTTTTTCTGGGTAGGTGGTGGGTTAAACATGAACCCTGCTGTGCTGAGAGCATTTGAATTGTGGTTTTACATTTTTGGATGAAGGGGGGGCCGTGAGGGGAATCTGTTGTGGTAAACTTCACCAGAAAATTTTATCCTGTCAGTTGCTTCTCTGCTCATCAGAGTTGTGGAGTATCAGATCCTGGCAGCACTGGTTGCTTTTACAAATTGCCAGTACCAGGCAGAATCAACCTGACCTAACTGCAGAGTCAAATAGTTCAGTTTAATCAAAATAACAAATCAGGTTATTCTTATGAAGCGTTGCTAGACTGAAGGAATAGACTGGGCCATGAAGGTCTGTCTTAAAAGCTGATACTAGAGGCTGCCATAAAAACTGCCATAAAAAGAGAGAATGGCATCAGCTGGAAAGTAGTGAAAAAATTTATGGTTTGAGAGAGTATTGGCAGGAGTCTTAAGTGTCTGGAAGAAGTTATGTCATGTTTTGCAAAACTCAGTGGTGGTTTTCCAGTTACAAGGATTTCTTCAGAACTGTGAAGAGAACAGCAGGCAACAGAGCCGCTGTTAAAAAGCTTCTCAAAAGGCTTTAAAAGGCTAACTTGTGTCCTAAAGATGGTGAAATGTGAGACAAAGTTGAGGCTAGTTCAAATTTGGAGGATTCTGAAGAATCCCACTAAACACATGGATGAGTGGGCATACCAGTGGCAGACTACCTGTGTTTACCCCTGCTGAAGTCATGGAAGGGAGAGTTTATTGGCTGTTGGGATTTCTTTTGGGGAGTAGTGCTGAGGGAGTGAAACTGATTTTTACTGAGAACAAGGCAATAAAAATGTGGTTATTCCACAGAAACTAGGAACCTAAACCATGTCCAAACAAAACACACAATGCCGTGGAAACTGTCAGCCTGCTCCAGTTCCCAGATGCTGTTCTGATCAGCTCTAGTTAAAGTACTTGCATGTTTTTAACCAAGGATTATCGTAATACAGGGTTATGCAGCTCTGATGGTGAGGCCATGCCAAAGTACATAATGTGTGTGTTTCGTACTAGAATGAGGAAGAGAGATGGATCTAAGCTTTGGCATTAACCTGTGAAAAGCCTGTATTGCACAAAGGGAAAACAGTAGCCTAGCTCCCTCTTCAGGGAGTGACACCCTGTGATGTGATCTGAAAGTCATGTTAGAGGAAGAGACTACTTAGGAAGGGAAAAAGGAAGCTGTTGGTGAGACTCATTGCACCAGGTTCTTATGA